ACAAAACTGTTGTTACAACGTAATGTGTTACATGAAAAGTCACTTTTTCATTATGCATTTTACTTTGGTGACTTTCGAAAGTGACCACGTTTAATCAGTCTTGATGCATCAACTGTAACTTCAAACTGTCTCGTGCATTCATGACGATGACGCATTCGCCGGTCAGGATGGCTTTGGTTCCCATGCATTTCGCGAGAATGGTCCACGATATAACAGCTCCATGGTCAACTTCTCGGTCGTCCCTATCTACGGCAATTAGCTGTTAAAAGTGTTCGTGTGTTTCACCAGTTATCGCCGACCCACCCACGTGCCCGAATCGCCCTCCTGCGCGTTATCTCGCGACAAAATGCATCTCGTTGGACCGGAACAGCTGGCCGAAAACGTGCTCTGAGCTGTCGCAGTAAAACGTGTTCGCGGTACAAGGACGATGGTAGAATATTGCGAAAGAGAGGCATTTCCATAATGCCGATCATTCCCTCTTTATTCGGTCCTTTGGTCTTTCTTCTTTTTCCCGACTGATATTTACGTCGTGTTCATGCTTCTAGGAAGTGATCTTACGGTTCCCACAAACGGTGCCTCTTTTCTTTGAAGCCATCTCACCGCTAACCAGAAGAAACCGCGTCGCAATCACTAACACGGCGGGATACAGCTCTAAATATACGCTCAGTGCGAGAGAATATTCATTATTTTTTATTTGTCTTTAATGATATTTGAACAAATAAAATATTATACTTCAATTTTTTTCGCTTTAGTTAAATTTTGACACGGACAATCTAATTTCTAATATTTTTATATATTGTTAATGTTATATACATAATTTTATTATAATTGAATTTTATTGAGAAAATATTTATGTACAAATTTATTATTATTAATTGCGTATATGATGGTGTGCATTGTAACGTTACATAAAGTCATATAAATTTTTAATATGTTATAAACAGAATTATATACAAACGTGCGAAACATATCTTGAAAACGTCAAGTAGTTTAATGTAAAATTGCTATTAATATTTATTAAGTAATAAAGCACACACACGCATTTCGTTGACGGGGCACGAATAGAGAACCCCTTGCATCAGGTTGTCGGCTAACAAGGCAAAATTAGTCGTGAAATATATCCAGACTATTTTATAACGCGTGGTACCCATGATAGGATAGCAACCTATTAGCACGCCTCTCAATTAGCAGCAGTTACAGATGACCGTGTGCCATGCTCATTTTCTTCAGATTGTTCGAATTAACGATACTGTTTTCTCATAAATAAAAAATTAATATAATTACTTTACAAAAAATATATTTTACGCAAAACGTGCCACAAATTGTACTGTCGATTAAATATTTCTGCTTATAAAAATTTTAAACTTTTTCAGTAATAAATGAGACAATTTTTATATAATAATTTTATGAGATGCTGCTGAAAATTTAAATCACATATAATCATGAATGAAAATGCTTAAGTGACACGTTTTATCGATACAGAAAACTATACTTTTCAAGGATACGCGATGTCGGTCTTAGGAGGACCGCTCAACTTTTGTCTCGATATTATTGAAAGTTGTTTTAAGGGTCACTAGGAATGTAAGAGGATGCCTTCGGGTATTCGAGGATAGCGATGAGGCGAGGACGGAGAAGGATACGGCAAGTTAGATAGCGAGTGACGAAGAAGACTGAAAATAGTGAGTGGCGATTTCCTCTAGCAATCCATGCGGGCGCACTGTCCTAATTACAACGGGGCCTCCTATTTTTTCTCTTTTCTCTTTTTCTTATCTGAAAGGGACCGAAGTATGTGCCTGCGGCAATGGCGGGAGCTAAACGATTTCGGACCGCTCTCAGCATTCATTTAGAGCGAAGTGCAAAAGAATCGTCGTCGATGATAGAACAAACTAGAAGAGACGCCGAAGAATGGTAGAGAGGGAAAAATAAAAGAGACGCCTTCGTCGCAGTTTTCAAGCCATTCATATAGTGCCGACCGATCTCTTCTCACGATTCATTCATACCTCGTAGCATGAGAGATTTTCGATCGTCGATCTTTACCTGACGACCGGCGCGGCGCGCCATTCTTCCTTTAACGCTCCGTAGACCGTCTAAAAATTCGGCAGTAGGCGCCGGGCTTTAAAATTCCATTGGAGAAGATTCACTGATTCGTTTAGTCAATTATCTGTTAATCGTTTAGTTGAATAAATATTTTTGAATCATTTGAAGTCATTATTATTAGATATATTACATTTATTACAAATATTTGTTTCAATGAATTATATACTGTAATATATAAATCTTATTTTTATTATTTTAATAATTTATACGAGGAAACAAAACACAAAATACACATACTTAAACAAACGCGACACAATATTATAAATAGTAAAAATATTTCGAAAAAATGTTTTTCGAAAGTAATTTATTTTACAGCAAGAATTTCTTCTCGACATCATGTGTTATTACACATATTGATAAAGTTATCTGTTTTTTACTTCAAGCAATTATCTCATCTTCTCATATATGTAAAATTCGAGAATCGTATCGCTCTTCAGCAGTCAAACGTAGCGTAGGAAGATGGGCTAACGATCTTAATGGCTAGGCAAAACATTGACACCTTGGCGGCGCTCGGGAGACCACCTGGATGAGGATGCCAAAGGGAAGGCGGGCAGCGATCGTTAAACACAGGGTCAGCACGAGAGAAGTGGAAATCTTTATGAGAAAGTAAGTTGGGCGAACGATGACAACGAGCTAACAGCGTGCGCAAACACGGCGGCTTGGGACAGAGCCGTACCCGGTCCGATGATCATGTACTTACGCGTTTCCTCTCAAACACCGACTACGTCGACAGCTCCAGAGACACGGCATCGGACACTGATCATGGGAAACGACAGATTCCGCTTGTTCAGGCTTGGAATGCCTCGAGCTGAATGCTCGAGCAACATGTGCCGATGATCGGAGAATTGTCTCGTTAATATTCAAAAGCAAATAGTGAAATGTGCACAGAGTACATTTACAATTGTATCTTTGAAGTAAGCAAGATTTATTGCATGAATATATTAAGATAATAGTTTTTTCACTTATCTATTTAGCTTAATAAGCTAGTCTATTTGCGTCTATTTTTTTAAACATATTTCGGACACATTTTTTTAGAGGAAGTCACATTGGGGAAAACGGAAAGAATGGCAGTGAAGAAACACAATAAAAAATGTTGAACGGTCTTTGGTTTAATATGATACAACTGAGCGGGCATTTCCCGTTCAGAAAAGAGCCCACAAGAGAGCTCACTTTTGTATTACATATCCACAATTATAATTCGCAGTTTATTATTATTATTATAGAATCTTATTATCAGATCAGTTTATATACAGTATATGAAGCGACCGCGTTGATTAATTTAAATTTAATTCATCGTGTATAACGATGGAACGTGTCTATCTTACTTACTAAAATTTTAGCTTACAATCTTGTACGCGATTTTTTCATTTATAATTATCGAAAACATTTAATTTTACAATAAATCAGAATGTGTACGATCGTATATAGTTTTTTTATTTATGTATTACATTTTGTTACAATTGTTCGAGTTTGTAATTAAAAAAGACAGAGAGATCGATTAAAGGTGCATGTGTAATATAAATTTTGTGATTTTTAAATTTATAAAAAATAATAAAATTATAAAAAATAATACTTTTGAAATATAAATTATCATGATATCAAAAAATATTACTTTATAATAAAAATATATTTTTTAAAAATGTTATTCTAAATTTAAAATCAATCATTTAAAATTATAAACAATAAAGTCAGATTACAAATGGTCGAATTAAAATTCGAGACAATAAGTATGTCCTCTTATTCTTTTTTTTTTGCTCTTTTTTTCTCTCTGTCTCTTTTTTTTGAAACAAGAGGAAGCAAAGTGGATAATGAATAATTAGTCGCCTGAGGGATGTTCTAGGATGCATATCACAGACGCGATGATACGGAAATAAAAATACACTTTATACGATACGCGCATGCGTGCGCACAAGTAATAATAATTTAATAATGAACGCATTTAAAATTGCGTTAATGATCAATGATTGAAAATATGAATCTCGTATACGCACATATACATATGATTTATAATTTAAGCTTACGAGTTTCTACTAATGTGAAAATTAAGTATGATTAAGGGCGTGTGAAAACATGTGATATTTGCAGGTAATCGCGCACTAACTTTTTTCTATTGTGGCCATTCTTTATAAAAGATCGCCACGCGACTACATGTCATAAGTACAAAATGAATCAATTTTGAAGATTACCGGCATAGGACGTATCAGAACATGACTTCTTTGATTTGCAATTATGTGAACAAGAATACATTTATATTACACAACATGTATAAAATATATATCGATAATTACATATTACAAAATAAAAAAATATTGATCTGTTTATAAAATTGTAATTATAAAATGCACATTAAAGGAAAAAAATCTTTTTCATACGCCCTTGCTAATAGTCCTCTACAGCCTCGCATATTATTAAAATGAAAATAATCGATGTAATCGCGATATAAAAAAAGATCATGTAAAAAGATACTCTTCATAAACAGGATAGTATCAAGTAACGTATAATACTAGAAGGATCTCATTATAAGTGAAATAATTGCGATCAAAAGTGCAAAATATTAACGAGCCTCATTTCTGATTAGTTCTTATACCCTGCACAGGTATATCGAGAGAAGGAAACAATATAACAGCAGCGCGACACTTGACACGTTAAATGGTTTTTGTTGCATCAGTGCGTCTTTCTCTTTTTGTGGTATGTTAATTGATATATCGTGATAGTAAAATTCCGTACACACACACACACACATGAGCAAAATACGTGCGCACGGGATTTTAATTGTAATACATATATGTCCTTCTTTCTTTTATACACTAGGCACTTTTAAGCTCAACTAGACACTTTAAATACAATTAATCGGAGTGTGTAAAATCTTTATATAAAAATAAAATAAATAATCTGAATAAATATAGATATACTAATATTATCTAATTAGTCAATAAATTATTATATCAGATAATTATGGGGCACACGAATCGCTCGCGAAAAAAATATTTCTAATGATGCTGTAAAATTCTTCGTCGCGTGCACAGTGTAATTTATACACGCAATTTTCTCTGTTCGTTGGATCACAAGAGATCGAAAATACTGTGTTGAACTCTAACAGCGTAAATGAATTTTTTCCTATTAAACTATTTTTTTCTCAGCTCTTGTTGCTTTAAGCATTTGAGCACAAATAGAAACTCGTAATGTTAGATAAGTGTTCACATCTCTAAATCGACATGAATTCAATAAAAAAATATTACCTAAATAATTATACTAGATAAATCGACTTGAGATTGTTTTATAATGCTTTTTGTGACAGTTCTTACTTTCTCGAGTGCTCTAATCTTGTGTATACTGTGTGTATAATAGCAGGTGATTTTTGCAATATTATTCGTATAGAGAGGTATCATAAGAGAGAGAGAGAGAGAGAGAGAGAGAGTCTCAAGTCTTTAAATGTTTAAAAACTAAACAAATTAAATCGTGATCGTGTTCAACGTTAATAAAATATCGTAAGAAGAATGTGTATCGAGCGTAACAGATATCACGTTCTTAAAATATTAGATAATCGTGATATGTAGTTGTCTCTAAAGTCATTTGCGTTGAACACGTTGGACGATCGAATCGTTGAACTTATCATACCTACTTTTTTTCTCGCATGTTAAATCAAATATGAGCGTCGTGGTGCATCTTTGCGCAAAGCGATAACGATGTGTGATTATGCATGTGTACATGTGTGTAATCGTGAATTATGACGGCGAAAGCTAATGGCCCAACAATAACGCGACTTTTTATTTTTACTTTTCTTTCCCCTTTTACGTTGTCCAACTCGACGCATTATATTGTACCATTAGAGAATGTGAAGATGAATGGTGAATATTATTGAATGTGTTAATGATGATCAGGATATCCATCGGTTCGACTATGTTGATCACATCATCGATCAACGAATAACACGCTTTACGCTGAGAGGAGATGTAGCTCATTAAAATCATTGTTTCTCAATATGCGAAAATATATCAAAAAATTATCTTTTTTTGTGTCCGCCATCTTTCTCTTTATCACCTTAGAAGAGTAGAGCACCCAGCCGCAGTTGCACCGATTTCCCGTGATAGGAGATGGGGAATCGTCGTCTGGTAACTCTTTTCCCGCCTCGTCACCTTTAAGACTGCATGAGGCGCAAGCGCAGGAAAGTGAATACTTGGTTTATGTACTCGAGGGCGTTCATATAGTCACGAAAGATCATCCAGTCCCGCTTGATACGGCACGTCGTGTCACGCCTTAAATTATCTCCTCGATATTCAGGAGGCATGCGGTCTCGATCGACATTTGGCTGTGGCGTTATTCCGCGCTCCATCATAGCATTTTGTATCTCACAGAGAACCTGAAAAAAAAGCATCGAGATATTAAAGATATTATTTATAATACTTAGATCAGTCGGTACATGCAATACAAAAAATAATATTACTTTTTTTTTATACAAGAGCATCTAGTATTAATAGGATTGCATTTAAAAAATATTTGTAGAATTATGAATTTGTTAAATTTATAATCATCAATTTAAAATTAATCATTATAATATATAAAAATACGAATAACAAAGATAAACATTGCTAATAATTTTCAATGGGCAATAGTGTTTTGTATTTTTTGGATATTTTCCTCAGTGTGCAGATATTTCTCAGGATGTTTCGAAATCGATATATATCGAGAATAAATACAAAAATATAGAAAATTTTAATAACATAAAAACCGAATTGAAAGCCATAATCGTAATGGTTGTTAAAACGGCATTTTCGTTTTTCAGCGATGAACTTTAATGTTTCCTTATTTCCACTTTTACGTAAAAAGCTCGTAAAACTTGACAAATACTTTTTTATCACAGCAACAGAAGATAGAATAATTCAGGCTAATTGCGCACTGGTGCTATTGTAAAAATCGCGCGCACAAAACTTTTTTTATACTATACACACTGCAGAAGAGCGACAAATCAAAAATTTGTTGTCCGGTGTAATTATTAAAAAAGATAATGAATTTGATCTCAAAAATAAACTTACACTTCGGAGCTTGAATTCGCATTCCTTGAAATTTTTGGCAAACGGGTTGCCTATGAGTTCCAGGTCCCAAACCATTTGTTCTATGCTCATTGCGAGTAGCTGCATAATTTCGTACCATGTAACAAGTTGTTCATCCAGCTGAAAATGTATCAATTATGCTTATTAATGCCTATTTAAGAACGTTTATTTGTATTATCAATTTTCGTAAAGACATGCATTTTTCAAAGATTGTTGTTGTATATTATTATCAATATTGTACGATGCTGGTAAGTTACAAAAAGGAGCGACAAAAAATAATATTATTGACAATACGTACCTCCAACTTTGACAGATACTCCTGACTCAATGACTCTCCCAGCTTCTTGGGTATTGGAGGCAGCCAGGGTAAACATTTTTTTGTAAACAATTCGTTAAGGTTGTTGAAATCTGTCTTGTAAGTCTCTTTAATCTGCAAAATTAAAGAAGAAAACCGTGGGCGCGATTAGATGCATAGTTTCACGTAAAAAAGGAGCCGCAACATCGAAGAAAGATGTGCGGAACTATCAAGTTTCCTTCATCGTCATCCTTTTAGTGTGCAATTTCGTAGAAATTTGAGAAAAATTGTTCCGCGTAGGCTCTGTTGCTACTATCGTTCTGCATATCTCTCATATTTATTACGCACGAGAGTTTATTAAAGTATATATAAAACAATACAAAATATGCATATATTTATGTTAAAATGATATAATTGCTATTTTGTTAGTGATCAACCACATTTATTATATATAAAAAACCAGTCGCTTCTATTTAATTATTTTATTTTTTATCGCATCTCTGTTTTTAATGAAATTTCAATTTTATTCTCTTGACAAAAAAATTTAAAAAACATGAAAATGCGCGATTTAGCAAAAACGCAGTGCATTTAGCGCTATTTTATCTTGAACAAAGTAGCGCTTCAGATCGTAAGAGGCTCATGGATTGGCGCATCGCGCTGCTTTTATTGTACTTCCAGGTATTCGTCAATTATGCCGACACTGATGCGAGTACTGGATTCGCGAGCTCTCGCTCTAATTTCTGCGCGGTAGCGTAGTCGTAACTCGAGGCCACTGGATGTCAGCGTGAGTTTAGTCACCGATTACACGCCGTGCACAATACCTTTTACACGATCAGTCTTCCGATATCCCGTGTTCTTGGCGCGTTGAAAACAGGCAGCACGCCGTGCGAAATACCACGTAGAATATAACCACTCTCTCAATGGGAGGGTGCGCATGCCAGAAGCAGCGGCACGCTGACTTTTCGGGAATACCGGGATGGGTCAGCCAACAAAAGCCAGCTTAGTCCTCCTTTACTCAGAAATTACTTGGAAATCCGGGCGCCAGTCGAGACACAATAATTATCCCATCAAGGGATCGCTTACATCGAACGAGTCATTATGAATCATCCACTGAACAGGGAAGTGCCGGTAGAAATAGGGAAACATGCCACCGTTTTCGTATATTCGAAGATCATTTTTTGTACTTTATTTTTTTATATATCGTAATGTGATTTGATGCAGAAGATTGTTTCAATGTATTTACTTCAACTACGAAGCTTTAACAAAATTAATAAGTATGCCTGCACTGCAATAATTATTATGTAAAATGAGATTTTATTGAATAATAATTATGTAATGCATTTCGCATTTCGCATAATAATCTTTTGCGATGCGTTCACTCCTACTTGAGATAGGTCATTGGCCTCTTATTATGATAATCAGTTGTGATTTAAAGGATGAAGCAACCGTCTTGAAAGAATCCCGACATTATTATTCTACTTTAACATCCAATGGAATTTGTGTTCATACGCGAAGAAAGATGATTTAGCATCATTGATCTCGTATCTTACAGTAATTGTTTTTAGCGCAGATAACACATCGCATGTGCACCATTATCTCAGGCAGGAATGGAAATAATGATCGTATACGATACTCTCATGACCTGCAATGCGATAATACGTTCGATCGTAAACAACATTCCTGAGATCTAACGCTATCAAGGAACCACGTGTTGCGTAGCCTGATAAATCACATATGGTCTCAATGTTCTTTCCTCTATCTAATGCATATAATAAGTTTGTGAGCTCGCATGTAGGTTTACGAACGAAAAATAAGTATAATACGCGACAAACGAATTTCTCGAAGATAGAACGACGCGGAGGGGTAGCTCATAGTAGAAAGGCGGCATCGCGGTAGTCATTCATTAAATTCATTCCCTCGTTATATGGCATGTTCGATCTCGTGTACCTGCGGGCACTCGTGCGCCGATCGATGATCGGCCCTTCTCACGCCCCGGTCGTTACGAAAGCATCCAGAAGGATACAAAGATATCTTTTCGGGGCTCCCATCACTTTGTATCAAAAAAATATTAAATACGCACGGTGGTCGGCCACCGATTGCGTCATCGGCCGTTATTGCTAATAATACCGGTAACGATATCTCGACCGCAAAGTATCCTAGACTAGTATAATGAGGGATTTGGTGAGTAATTAAATGAAATTTTACGACAATTTTGTGCAAGCAATCCTCTAATAAATACATTAGCGAGACCTACGCGTCTACCTACAGCTCTCTTTCTCTCTCTCTCTGCTAAGCCCGCGTCTACCTTTCCTTCTTTCAGGTGCCGAAAAGAACTCGTTTTCATCGTCGCGTTTTATGATGTGTCGGTTACATTCACACGATGATGACTCTCATTCCGCTCGAGTATATCGATACTTTGGCTAATTCTCCGTTTTCGTGCGACATCAAGCATGAGAAGTTTGCAAAGACAATTTCCGTGATCTTTGTTTCACGCTCCGAAGAGCTTTGAATTTCCTTCTCTCGCACTTTTTTGCTGCGAGACATATAAATACGAAGAAATTGCGAGAGCAGGAGAGCGAGCAAAGAGGGAGAGGTGATAAAAGCAAGACAAAAAGGAAAGAAGAATTGTCGCTAACAACCACTGGCGGCGGGCAAATCTGTGGCGCGGGTCTTTTGTGCCTCGTAAAAGTCTCGTCGGCTACACCGGGGCACACGAATAATCGTAAAACCGAGCTGGAAGCTGGCAGGAAGTAGGCTGGCAAGAATAGGTCTCTCCGTGCGCGGCGCTGTCCAGGACCCGTCAAAATCAATTAGCCTTTCAGTCTTTCTTCTAGCGCGGCTTCACCGCTGCACCGCTTATTAGAAGTTATAAAATTTCGGTGTGACGGCGATTTCAAGAGCCGATTGAATGGCTCGCAAGTTCGACGCCTTCCACGAGCAAGATGTAAAGAGGGAAAGAAATGACTAAAAGTGGGAAATCGAATTTTTTTATCTAAATAAAGCCTTCACACAACTTTTTCACAATTCGTCGATAATTTCCAAGGATCACAATAAATTGTTGTAGATTTTTTCCGATATAGAAAAATCGTATCGTATTTTAATCTCTACAACATTGAAACGAATTTTTTGTAAAATTTTATAGAATAGAGAGACTAAGAATCCGCGATGCGTTTGAAAAATATGTCATTGCGCAAAGTAGAAAGACGCGAGCACAGAGACAGAAAGTCAGCGGTTATATACCGTGGTAGAAGAAATGTGTCGTATCGAGACGAGTACATGCACTGGCAGGTTGTATATCCGGTCTGGGTTTTAGTATGCAAGCGATGTGCCAATGTGGCGTGCCCGTCCGCGGCGGATGAGAGGGGTAGCTTCCGATTCTGATTTATTGGAATCCTTCGCTTCCGATATTTTATCCGATTCTTTCACGTACGAGGATGCAGACGCCGTCGCTCGCGATCACGACGGATTGCAGACGACCGAACTCGACTTATAAGTTGTTTACAGGCTGTGCGTGCAAGGACGTACGATGAACCGTCACGAAACAACAAAAGTTTCACGATAGAGCGAATAAATGTATGGCAGAAGAACGAAATGTAGATCCACAATCGAAGATCTAATACATAGACAAAATGTATTCTAAAGATTCTCAATCATCCAGGAAGCTTTACGGAAAATTCTTTTTCCAATTAATGAGAGACCGCGACATTTTGTTGCAAATTTTCTTCGCGTTCCTATCATGAGATGCATCGATCGTTTTCTCGACATCCTTGACTAATCTATATCCTTTCTCCCAGTCAGTAGACGGTCTATCTGAACCGATAACGTGTGTTGGAAGATGAAGTCATACTGGATCACTAGACAGTGTGTCGCCGCGTGTCGATATCAAGAGAGGAAAAGGCGTCCATGGAGTTTTTAGCCTCGACGCTTTGCGACAAGGAAAGGAACCTGACTCTTCTGTCTGCTCGACTATGACTTCACTCCTTTTCCATGCCATTCTTCCTATGTCGCAAACGAGAGATTTACACGTGTGCAATTTATTGTCTTTTCTGCCAAGGGTAGAAGCGAGTCGCGGATCCATGCGGATATCATATTATGCGCTGACTTGGAAAACATCGGCATCCGGTATCGCTGTACGATGATGTAACGGGAACGCTTTCTAGCCGCCTTCGGCCGGGGCCCCAGGGCGAGACAGACCCTATAATGTGGAGAGGCATAAATACCCTTTCTCGATGCACGCGACGAATGTTAATTTACTCGGTCATATACTCGCTTCGCCTAGGTAAATACCGTTCGCGCGAGCGGAGGAGGGTCTTTGTGTGATCTTAACTGATGTTGTTCAACAATCAATCATGGGTGTTTATTCCTGGGTACTATTATTTGGCAAAAACGCAGCCATTTAGGAATTAATGTGATTGTTCGCTTTTTCGTGTCTCGTTTGATGAGAGTGCGGTTTCCTACATTGCCGTATAACTATCAAACATGCTTAGTGAAGATGTAGTATTACGTCTCTCGACTCTAGATTGCATCTAAAAATTATCTCGAATAATCTTTCTTGAATAAAATTTCGCAAAACATCTTCTTTGCTTCTGCGGTTTTCAAGTCGGTCTCTTTTTTTGAATCGTCTCTAGAGAGAAACCTTGAGGCACACCGCTTGGGTCTGGTGCGTGATTTATTGTCCTTGGCCAGAGATAATAAGGTACGATTGGTTGGGAAGATTCTTTCGAAACGGAAATTTTTCTCGCGTACGTATCTGTCTCATCAAATCGATTACATGTTACTTTTGAAATTTAAATCGTGTCCCAACTTTTTTGATGTAATAACTGTAATAGAGAATTAAACTTCGCGTACTTATAATAAATAAAAATATAATTAATATAATACAAACAATCTAAATAAAAACGGCAATTACGAGCAAGCGCTACGATGTTTAAACGTGTACCTTTATTAATATAAAATTAAAAATTAAAAATTGTCCATGAATATACAAAAACATTACAATAATATCATCTCAATAACGTACGTTTCGGCGCCTTTTTTTGGGTCATTCTCAGCGTAAAAAAAAGAAAAAAGTTTTTCAGAATCAATATATAGACCATTTACAAGATCGAAATCTTTTTCAAAGATTACTTAATAAGAAGACTATAGAACTACGATCGATGTCTGGACGACCGGAAGTACTACTATAATCATCTTCCGTTTGAAATTTTCTCGCTCTATCTCTCTGGTTTCTCTCTCTCTCTCTCTCTCTCTCTCTCTCTCTCAATAATTATCAAAATATTAATAAATTTAATATTGGGAACTATATTGTGACATTGTAATTTTAATCCACCAAAATGGATTACAATAATAGCATACAAATAACTAAATTTCTCGAAGAGGATGACGATGAGAAACAGCGCAAAACATCTATTACTTATTTATATATACATACTATACTATATGTACACACACACACACACACACACACACACACACACACACACACACACACACACACACACACACATATATATATATATATATATATATATGATATGTATACTTTATATTTATATACTATATTGTTTTATTACTTACATATAAATCTCGAAATATTTGCACATGATCATATGCAGTTTGTGTTTCGATGCATATGCTGCCCAGGATTTGATCGTATTTTGGCATAGAGATTTCCTGACCACTTTCCAGATCATCGGAGACTTCGGAAGGACCGCAAGGTTCCACCCACTTCGGAGGACTTTTGACCATTAGTTCTTGAATTACTGCTGGTAATTTTGTTTCACGATAACAAAAATCCATTTTTCTTGGATTTCCGTGTACCGAAACCACTAATAGGATCACAATCACACACCCTGAAAGCAAAGATGATCGTGTTAGATTTGTCAACCAAGTAATTTTTATACATACTTTGCATTTGAATTATATGCCATTAAATATTACGTTAATGAAATATATTATAGCGTCTCTTCAGTTTCATTTAGACAAGATTATAATTTAATATCATGATATGGGTATAAAAGAATATTTTTTTTATTTTTTGTGCATGCACAAGTTAGAATGAGATCGATGAAAAATATTTCCTTTCTCGTTCTTTAATTCTCGCATTGCCGACGTGGCATTTTAATGCATGTTGCATATACAATAGGAAGTTTTATAGCGATCGCCGAAAACAGTTACATTAATGCAGACGTGGCGAATAAACGCTATAAGATTGGAGATCATTTCGCGATGAAGACTTAACTTGCGTAGGGGATTATTAACGGAATTGTCTGCGTATTAAAAAAAAATAATAAAAGACAAAGATACAGCTCAATATTCGACGGTAATCAACGATTTGACGGTGAGAGCCGCGAGATGCCTGCGTAAAATTATCATTGAGCTTCCGGCTCGTCGGGCCCTCTCTGTTTCTTCCACCCTCGGGGATTCACTCGTCGATAGTAAGCGCCTAAATGGTAGATTCCGAACGGGACCGTCTTATGATCATCCGGCAGTTTCAGGATCACCGCTCATCGAATTACGTGCCCGCGAATTCGTCGTCGCATTATTACGCGAGTTACGACCCTTGATGAGAGGCCTCGGATCACGTGCAGCGATATGACGACAAACCATCAACAGTTGTGTACGCATTTGGAGGATGTATAACGACGAGAGGCTACCGCATATACGACGTGTGTTGTATGCATTTAATCCGTGTCTCTCTCTCTCTCTCTCTCTCTCTCTCTCTCTCTTTTTCGGCCGCAGTTTCAAAAAAGTCTCGAAAATCAAGCGATAAAGTCGAACAGATATCATTGCGGAATGTAACTCCGATTTTACATTTGTCAATATAAATTTTATGTAATTGCCTATATAAATTTTTCACATCAAAATCTGTCTCTTAAGTCAAATGTAATCTAAGAGAAATTATCATAATATACTTATCATAAAAAAATATATTTTCCCCGTTAATTAATTTTATGATTATTATTTAACAAACTTTGTTAAAATATTTCACAGTATCTCTTCGCAAAAAGATTATAGATTGAAATAACGATATTTCTGAGATGGGTGGAAAACATTGCGTCAAAGTAGAGGAATATCAAAGAGTCGAGTATCAGATTGACTCTTATCGCTCTCGACAAGATGAATAGTCGCGTGACCAAAAACCGGAGGTGCGTTGTGCCACCCATAGACGCTAACGAATTTAATTTTAATGTGCGTGAACGTATGATGCAGCGTGGCCAGCGGACGCGACGTGCGAACAGAGGGAGAGACAGAAATGCAGACGGAGAAAGAGCAAGCTGTGGAGAAAACGATGAGTGGGACCGGGCGTAGGGAGACGCCTCGGACACTTAACGCATATTAATGAGCGGCTCTTAAGTGCGTTCTACGTTGCGCGATGAGAGAGAGCAATTTGCCGTAGGGAAGTTTGCGCCCTAAAGAGACGACGCAAAATCATGTCGGTCAACGACGGCGACACGCGTAACTTTTGACACAAACATGTCCCGATAAAACTTTTTTACGTTTGAAGATTTAACGCGCACTATTAATTAATCAAAAAACATCGCAAAAACGCGATAAGCGCTAATTATTGCGTGTTTAATCATTTGGTTTGTTTTCAAATAAGTACGAGATAGATTGTACAATCAGCTGCAATGTGCGAAATAAAAAATATGCAGAAGACAAAGTTACATGATTTCTTACATATATGTATGTATTATCGTTGCATATGGGCACATTGCTTCGATTTATTATTTGTTTCTATGTCCACAATTCATTGTACACAACACACGATGTCGATAAAAGTATCTATTTTTGTACTTTATTTTCGTCACGGAAAAAGGGAAAAAAATATCTTCGAAAGGACGACCATTGTAACGGAAAACATCCAATTATGATGTCCGCTAATGATGTTAGAAAAACCATGTACTTACAATGTACTTTTAGTCCATATTTAGTTTGAAGAGGTTTATATCTCAAGAAACAGTCATTCACGTTGCAAATATAATACTTTTATTGTGTCGCAGAGTTTATATAGTAATTCACATAAATCTCTTAGGGGATCTACGACTGTATGTACATACATACATACATACATACATACATATATATATATATATATATATATATATATATATATATATATATCCTTAGTCGTTGCTCTAAGACATCGTTTACTTTCTCTTATTTCTTTAATTACGCCACCTTCCTTTTTTTCTCTTAGACATTTAATTGCTATGCGATTAGTCTTCCATGATCGGTTAAATTTGTCGGCGGAGAAAGGGATACGAGGTGAAATAGGCGTTCTTTCAGACAAGTTCTTATTCTTGGAGAAAGAAAGAAAGAAATTTAAACGACAGCCAGCTGCTTCGAATTTACTCTCGTATCCACCTAATCTAGGAATGTCGCGGATTTAATTATACTTCGCAAAAGCATGTCTATAATGCGGTATGAAATTCTGATCAATTTTCAGTAGATAATAATATATATCAAAATTAATTTTTATACAGAAATACATAAAACTGAATATTTTTTATGTATCTTATATTTAGACAAAATATGCAATTTATAAACATTTCAGTCTTCTTTTACTCTATTTATTGTCATTCATGTCATTCTTTCTTACGAGTTTGACGTCATATTCGAGCAAGCCGATGAACGCATTAGTCATCCGCCTTGTGACGGTCCTCCTTATTGATTCTTCATTTATAAGTTTGCGGATCTTAAATCTACATTACGCGCGTTTTATTCTCCATCTTAACTGTTTTTTTCTTTTTTTTACAAAAAAAAGTCCTCGATTTAATTCAAAAGCTATCTAATAGAAACTCTAGAATTTCCTGAAATAAAATAATAAATTCAAAATACGTGCCGCGTATACATCGCGGTTATATATTTGCTTTTGTCCGCCCACCTGTTGGACCCAGTGGGATTCCTCTACAGGTGGTTTAATGTCGGTTTCCGCAACTGTTACAAGTTCATTTGTTAGTCATCTACCGAAACACCTTTTTCTACTGTGAAATCAGAGAAATCGTTCGACGTCTCACTGCTTATTATGGAGGTGTCGATGCAGAAAAACTTGTTGCAATAAATCAACAATTATGATATGAAAAATGATATGATGAAAGCTTGGGTGTCACTAGATTTTCTTCTAGCGATAAGAAATTGACAAGGAATAATCTATAATGAATTGGCATGCGTACACGCATATACGTGCGTATCGCGACCTACCGCAACGCACTTCGATCCGTGGATGCGAACGGAAGAAAAGGGAGTAGCGGGTCGGGTGTAATGGGGTATAATTGTCACAAGCAATGCGAGGACAGTGCGTCATTACCGCATTTTTCGCCGTCTTTCTTGCCGGCCGACAGCAGAGATGCGCTTTTGCACCGGTGTTCACCGGCTTTGCGAGCCATACTTTTTTCAACGCAGCTGCGAGTTCTTAGGAATTTCGATGGAACGCGTCGTCGTTGAGGTAGGCCCTTGTAATATCGGCGATGTGCAGACGGTATCCGGGGAAAAGTATAAAAGAGGGTAAAATATGACGTACACGAGTACACCGTCTGCTGAATTATTCGTGTCAACATTTTTTTCAGTTAACGTTTGTTGATTGATAAAAGTATTCCTTATTAATTATATGAAGCATTATTCATAATGTTACGAAATAAATTTTCTTACTCTCGAAATGTGAACACGCGCAAAGAATGGCATGATATTATACAAGAAAGTTGTAATTTTCATGAGCTGATATGAAAGGTATAAGAGCAACAATTGAAGAAAAAATGTATTTATAGATCACAGTGAGTATATTTAAAGCCCGGCGTGTGTTCTGAAGGTACTTGTCACGAAACGGTTCAATGATTAAGGTTTCGAGACACACGTGGGTTTTACCGCCAAATCATGATCCGTTTTGGGTGTTTACGCTGTCGAATGTGTAGTTTATCGATATCAGCTGAGTAATGAAAGTTTTTAGCGCTATTTTCGCTTACTAATCAATAATTCTGGTCGGATTATTACTGTGTAAGAAAACTGATCTTGAAAAAAGTTTTCTTGAGTTCTTTATAGTACAGTTAATACTAAATAAATTTTCAAAATCTGTATATAAAAATATATGTCAGTGTATATATATCTTTCCTTCTCTCTGTCGTTTGATGTTACAAAAGCTTAATAAGTAAGCAAAGGATATAAATGGCAAGCTTGATGCAAATAAAGCAAATCTTGATACGATTTCTAAATCAATTCGTGGAAAGCTTTGTAACCGAAAAGAGGATACTACTTTTATATCGACACGCTGCGCGAAGATATAATATTGTAACAGTCGAAATATTGTTATAATAATTACATAATGTTATTACGTTGCATTATAATGACCTCGAATTAATGAATGTGTAGCATAAAAATATGATAAAATAATTTTTTCATATGTCAATTATATCATTGCTTGAATTATATTCTCTTCTTTTATATTAATTCAATACATGATCCTTCTTTGAAATTATTATCCGGCAATTTTTATAAACGTATATCTCAATTTAATTATTTCTCATTAATAATATGTGTTGAAGAAATTAAATTTTAATTATTTTTGTAGTATTAACATTTTTTAAATAAGTTTCAAATGTTTCAGTGATGAATATAGTTAATAGTAACTTTGACTTACTTAGATACCATGATACCCTGACAGATGCGCTACGAATCGGTCGTATTCCTCGATCGTCGTAAAACGTCGGCGTAAGATGCGAATTGTATGGCAAGAGTCTTTGAGCATGATTATTTCTTTTTGTTCTCGCAATTGTTGCTTCGGTATAACAACTAGTTGCAACGTCGTTTCGACATTTAAGCGACTTTAACGTCGATTTTGGTTCGTAGCTCTGCGCGGCACGGTCAAGGACCCGATGGGTCGTAGTTCTCTGATCGCGGATGAGTATGACTTCCATCGTGATCGATTATTTGGTCAATGGATCATCACGTTTTCCACAATTCTCGCGACCATATGAAACACTTTATCACTCTAGGCGGGCGCGTCTTTCGCGTCAACTAGGACTGTATATGAGTAATAGATACACGTGCGTTATAGATATGTATATGTACGGATGCCGCGGACGGTGCGTGTATATGTATATATATATATATATATGTGTTTGTGCTCCAACGTCCTGTCGTCACCGATTCCGGTCACTCCGCCGAGGGGTTGTCACACTTGATAAACTGTGCGCACAGAATCACAATCCGTTTGGCACTGGTCCCAGCACACGCGATGCACTGATTCTTATACGACAGGAGGCAAGGGGGGTTGTGGGATCCCGAGAGAGAAAGAGGAGGGGGTGGGTGACAAGGTGGCGGGGGTACTAAAGAAGAGAAAGAATCAAAAGGGTACACCGTTAAGGGTGGCCCAGTCTCTCCTCTTCTCCGAGTTTTCCCACTTTCAGTTATCTTTTTCGCTACTTTCCCCAGTCTGCGACTCTTCTTTTTATCTTTCGCTTCTTCGTCACGCCCTTGCAACACTGTTGGCTGATCGGAAAAAATAATCGCGTTTCCAAAAATGTCACAGAACCTCGAATAGGAGTGAACCCTCCGTAAGGGACTGGAAGTGGAGAACTTTTGCCTTGGTCGTACGTATATCGTCCTTATCCCTCTATTCTCATTTTTTCTTCTTCTCTTCTTTCTTTTTCTTTCTTTTCTGTCTCACGACAACGCAAGTCTCTCTTTCACTCTTTCTATCACCTCTTGCGCCAGTGTATGACTGTCAGTGTATGGTACTGTCCACTCAGTCGACCGGTGCCTATATACGATTGTAAAGCCGCCGAAGCACGTGGTTCGCACCCCGCTTTCGGACAATTCTCCCACCATTCTCACCTTCCCTCGATCACCCGCGCTTGGTGTTACTTACTTCGTCCCATCTTCTATTCTTCCTCCTTCTCTTCATCATCAGAGTCGCCGCCGCCGCCACCTCCTTTGCGTCCATATCTCTTTTCCCTCCTCCTGCTTGCTGTTTCTTCAGCGCGGCTCCCACCGTCGGGATCGCTGGTGGTTCAGGACTTCGCGACTCATTCATAACTCCCCGACTCGATCGACTCACTATCCCCCACTCAATCAGCTCATCCCACCACGCGTACGTAGTAGGCGCTAGTCACCCAACCAAATGCTAACCAAGGCTCACAGTCGACCTGCCGCTACATTGTAGTCTCATCTCCCAAACTGCCGATCTTAAGTACCACGAATAGATACTGGAGTTTTCTTATGCCAATTGATATCAATTTATTCAAGCGATTTGTGACCCTTCAATTTTTTTAACTCGAGTATCGCCAATAATTGCAATCCTATTCTTTATAATTGTCTATTTTTTATTTTACATAATTTAATTCTTTTATCTCATATCATTTTATTACCACGAATAGATACTGGAGTTTTCTTATGCCAATTGATATCAATTTATTCAAGCGACTTGTGACCCTTCAATTTTTATGCTCGAGTATCGCCAATAATTGCAATCCTATTCTTTATAATTGTCTATTTTTTATTTTACATAATTTAATTCTTTTATCTCATATCATTTTATTTTCTTTATTCCACTGTATTCAATGTGAAAGTGAAAATTTAACCCGATAGAAAAGAGATTATAATTTGAAAAATATATAGAATGTATATCTAGATAAAAAATCTAGCCACAAAGATTTTAAAATTTTCCAAATTTTTAACAATTGATTACATATATTTATAATTTGTGTGCATGTGTGCCTACAATATATAATTTGTTCTATAAAAGATAATTCCACAATATCGTGACACAATTAAATCAACGCATTTTTCATGATAAAAAATATATCTCTGACAACATATTTTTGATATTAGTATCACTCTAATTATAAGTTAAATAATGCAGTTTTCTATCTTTATATCATAATTATGTTAAGTGTTATTCACGCGAAATTTTTTTATCGCAGAGATGTATGCAGTTGGTCGATTTATATATTCTTTAGAATCGTGACAAAGTAATGCATTATTATATAGATAAAATAAATTTGTTGACAGAGTTAATTATAGCATAAAACACTCCGATTATAAAGATGTGCGTCAGTAGCACAGTCGTACACGATTCCGCTAATTGTCGCTGTCGACGAAGGCGTGACACCATTCGTTATCCACGGTATGTCGTCGAGAATCTTGTACGTCCGTAGCATCTTTGTAGTATCGAGTTTCGTGATCATTGCGAAGAGTTCGTGGCATTAATGAACGGCACTAACGACGGCGAGCTGGGATTCCTTAGCCTTAGCTACGTCAGAACGTGTGCATATACGTTTCCGTATAGATAATAACGACACTGACAGTGACGTTAATAGCGATTATTACGTCGTTTCATATCGTTCTTATGTAATAAGTGTTGATGTTAGATTAAAAAGGAAATCTTTTATTAAAGGTTGCACGAAGTTTCCACATTTCATTGTGAATTTATTGAGCACATATATTTCTTTCTATCGCACGTATATATTTCTTTATTTTCATCTTGTATAGAGTGATAATATTGAAAAATTTGTATCTAAGATTGGTATCGTAATTATGTCGTAATTGGTGAATTTTATATATTTGTTTTTTTTTGGAATCCATATTTTTCGTATCGTTAATTCATCATAATGATATCGTATCACGATCAAGTACATTCCGCGTCGATGAAACTTTCTTACAGAATTGCGAGGAGATTTCTATTTAATCGAGAATGATCCAGGTTCTCCTCTCGCGCTTTGAAATTTCCCACTATGGCGCCTGTGCGCTCCCTACTCAAAACAGCGTCCATATCCTCTTTTACCTCCCACTTGAAGTCAGTGATGACGTTTCCTTTCACTAGCTCTCGATTGCTTACTTACGCACATCGCTGTACCTTGAACGGATTGAAGTTGGAAGCACCCGCGTAAGTCCATTTGTACTTCAAAAAGAATTTTCTTACAACAAGCAGCGGATGCTTCAAATAGGATATCAACTGACATATATTTTTGGAAAATCTAATTTAATAATCCGGATGCAATTAATTAGAGTTAGATTACATATCATTTTCAATATGAGACGATATGTCATTATTTTTGTATCAATGTTTCAATCATTACTACTGATTATTATTTAAGTGTAAGATAAAAATATGTTATATGATTAAAAATAATGAGAAGATATTCATTTTGCTGACATAATATAATCTTGCAAAAATTTTTAATATGCTTATATTAAATAATTATTAGATATTATACAAATAAATAATACAACACATAATTTCTCTGAATTACATTATCAATCATTTAAAAATCAAACAGCAAATGGATTATATCAGTCATTTGTAGTTTTTACTATTGATTGCATCATATAATGTAATCGACAAACAGTTGAAATAGAATTTTTACAAATCAAAACACCTAATTTCTTTCACACTCGATTAATTTTTAATTGATTAATTTTATTTAATCAAACTTTAATGTCATCCATCTGTGAAAAGTGCTTTTAATTATTTTCTCTTCATTTCTTTTATTATTTTACTCAAAATTTGTTAAAATAATGACGTAATGGATTTTCATCACAGTTATGTGAATCATGAGACAAAAATATTGTGAGACTGTTAAAAGATACTCAATGAGGTCATATTCAATTCTCGGTGTTAAGTGTGCCGGATATCAGGTCAAACATATCAGGAAGCACATAACTATCGAATATAAATTATAACAGATGATATAATGCTTCTCATGTAAAACGCTAAAGATTATAAATTCAATTATAAATTATTGAAGAAAAATTATAGATTAGATTATAATTAGAAATTTTTATCTAAATATGTGTAGCGTGTTACATAGCAATAAATATTATAATAAAGGATAAACATTATATAAGATAATAATGTTTAATAGTAGTTGGTAGTTTCGTCGTCATAAAAATAAAATTTTCGAGCATTTGCATGCCTCAGAATTTTTATTTTTCTCACGATTTTGTACATTTACAGAAACGGCGTTTCGATAATTTTTTGTTTATGAAAACCATATTGATGTGCGGCTACTTATATCGTTATTCGACAAAGTGCAATTCTGCTACGTGACTATCGGTAAAAAATGGTCGTGTCATGATACAACTTATTTAATATTTGCGGATATAGTAGTAAAAATCACGTGACGTTATTGATAAAGCACGCAGGAGGCGTGACCACCGGAAGAGTTCATCAATAAATGACCTAGGTTAATAAGACGCCGGCAAACAATGTATGGAATTTATTGGTACAGATTTGTTATGACGAATATGGTCTCTCCCCTCCCATGTAAATGTATGTACGGTTTAATATAAAAAATAAGATTGCAATATTTTTTCTTTACTTATATTTACAAGTATAGAATTAGATTTATTTGTATACAAACATATTTCAAAACTGCATTTTATCATATTTCACATGCAAATATTTCATTGTGCAATTCCATTAAGTATATTTATATTGATATCTTTTTAAAAAATAGGTAAATAATAATGTAATATGAATATTATACATTTAAAACGTGGTTATATTCATCAAATTTTTATTAATATTACTATTATATTATAAATTAATATTATTGTGAATTGTGATACTGATAGAATCGATTTAGAAGTACTTGATTTATTTGCACATTGCTTTGCGTATTTAGTTAATAAAGAAACATGAGTGAATGACACATTGTATTGAGAGACGCATTTTAATTTGAAGAATGCTCTACGTGACCGCTTTCATGGTTTTGTTCGCCGACTCTTGGCGTAAAATCAAACATTATGAAAGCACTGCGTGATCGTAATACAACGTGATAAAACCGTATTTAGAAAAATGATAATGTAATTAAAATTTGCGTGTATATTACATAAAAAGACACAAACGCATGATATTATAAAAGAGAGAGAAGAGGAGAGATAAAGAGAGAAAGAGGAAAAAAATATATATATATATATGTATATTATAAAAATGTTTTCTTTATATTAAATAATATGTACCAATCATATTTTGTCCATTAAACTTAAATAGTTTTTGGTCAATAAAAATCAGGCAATTTGGAATTTAATTATCATTTAATATCGCGTTTATATTTTGGTCGTGTAAATTTTTTTTTGTACCTTGTTTTGCCATTTTTATTTATCACGCATGATACCATACCGACGTGTTCCTTTCTTCGAAACGTACGTGATTTTCTAATAAGAAGGTAAAAATAACATTGTACAACAGCGTATATCAAAATGGGTAAATGTTCAAGGAATTTTCACATAAAAATATTTTTCGCAATAGACAGTGTCTGAATTTTTATACATTATTGTCCTGAGAATTGCAACATTCAAACAATAAAAATTTTTCTGCATTCTTAGTAATTATTTTTATCATTAATTTTTTTATCGTTGTGTATATGCATATATTTATATCTCACTCAATTTCTAGAAATGATACGGCAAATATTTTTTGCTATCTGCTGCGGCAACAGATTATATTGAGATTTATTATAAGCAAAGAATGCATATAAAAATGATAAATACTAATTCCATTATTCACGTATTTTTTTTCGCAACAATATTTATTCCAAATCGTATTTTTAAAAGATGGATAGATCTATATTGAAGAAATCAATTATATAATTCTTTACGACAATACTATATCCCCTGTTATTAATATGCACGTGTTTCCTTCCGTTTAGAGTTCACGACAAAGCAGAGTTAAGTGATGACTGGACCGAGTTTACGCAGAAAACGTATACGCGGTCGCGTGGTTTAGGAAAAAAATGCGAGCGAGAACCAAGCGAAATGTTTTTTTGCTTAATTAATGAGTCAATTTTATAATCTTCACTTCGTTGGAAACAGATGCGTTTTCCGCCGAAAATGGAATGCGCGATGCGCAAACGCAAG